TTACATTGGGGTAATATTAGGGTTACATTGGGGTTCTATTGGGGTAATATTAAGGTTATATTAGGGTTACATTGGGGTTATATTGCGGTTGCATCGGGGGAATATTGGGGTTATATTGGGGTTACCCTGGGGTAATATTAGGGTTACATTGGGGTTACATTGGGCAATATTAGGGGTACATTGGGGTTACATTAGGGTTACATTGGGGTTATATTGCGGTTGCATCGGGGGGTAATATTGGGGTTACATTGGGGTAATATTAGGGTTACATCGGGGTTACATTGGGTAATATTAGGGTTATATTGGGGTTACATTGGGGTAATATTAGGTTTACATTGGGGTTCTATTTGGGTAATATTAGGGTTATATTGGGGTTACATTGGGGTAATATTGGGGTTACATTGGGGTAATATTAGGGTTACATTGGGGTTATATTGCGGTTACATTGGGTTTATCTTGGGGTTACATTGGGGTAATATTAGGGTTACAGTGGCTGTGACCGTAGTGGAATCTAACTGCTGGCCTGCATGGGTGCAGGTGCGCTACTGTTCAAGGTTGTTTACTAGGAACAATGGAAGAACCGAAGGTATATCCCTCCCCCTCCATGTTTGGTTGCAAGGGGCTTCAAATTGCAAATCCAGATGCATTTGTTTGAAACCTTCTCCTGCCCACTGCGTAGCCTTATGCAGGTTCGTTGGTAGGATGCACGTGCACACGTTCCTTGGTTTGGAGCTACAGCCTACACCCTAAGCGACGTCAGTTTCGAGGCCATGGTTCCTTCTTCAGGGTTTGAACAGTGATGAGGACACTTGTAAAGAGTGATAGTGGTTTTGAACAGTACCCACATAACATGAACGGAAGATTGATTTGCAGATGGTTGTGGCTGGCCCAGGGCGGAATGTTCATCTACAAAGGGACGAAGGACTTGCTCGGCCTTTCAGCGACCTCCCGTGTCTTGTGGACACTACATGAAGAGTTTCTGTGAGCATACAGAGAATGACATTCTGTATTGCAGGCATCCAGTGACCGGTGCTTACCCTTTCGTACATATGTTACGTTGCGTCTATGTGACTCTTACGCAGTAGGTTTCATGCGGTCATAGCGAGTGCGGAACGCTGATCAATTAGCTCCTGTGTCATAATTCTGAAAGCATTGTCATCATAACCCCAGCCTGGAGGTCCTCAAGTAACAGGCTGCAGTAATGGATTCGGGGCGATGGCCCCAAAGCCGCCATAAATCTTGAACCCCTAAACCCTATACCCCAGGCATCCCCAGGCTTTGCGAGTTTGACGGACGCTGAACCCCAAGCGCTTGGAGTCTGACGGAACCATGAGTTCAAAAACTCTATGCGAGCTTGATAGGAGAGCCTGAACAACGAGGTCTTGACGGTCGAAGCGCGATACCCGTTTAAGGTTTAGGCTTTGGGCTTTAGGGGTGTGGATTGTTTACATTGCACCGCTGTCATGGGCGCAAAATGGAGGACCTCAACACAAATTGTATGTAAGCTTGTCACAGTTAGCCTTATAGAATCCGTAGTGGGTGCCCGCATAATGGCGCCATTATCCGTGTAATGTAGACGAGGGAAGAATTACCAACACTATCGCTATCTTCTCATATACTTGTAACTTATAACCGCATAGAGCAGCCTGATATACTCCAGCTACCTTGCAAGGAGGGGTACAGGCGGCCAATGCGGTATTTTTGTACACAGACATGCACATTTACATTGTATATGTAGACATTGTATGTATGTTATGTATGTTATGTTATGTTATGTTATGCTATGTATGTATGTATGTATGTATGTATGTATGCATGCATGCATGTATGTATGTATGTATGTATGTATGTATGTATGTATGTACAGATGTTTTTATGTATGCATGTATGTATGTATGTATGTATGTACAGATGTATTTATGCATGTATGTATGGATGGATGGATGTATATGTGCATATGTGCGCGTGCGTTTGTGTGTTCATGCAGGTGTGTGTGCAAGCAGGCGAGTAAGCAAATAAGTTTGTCAGTAGGTATGCGTGTAGAGCCGTAACACTGGTTTCAGCGTTAGCAAGCATGGCAGATTGAAGGATTCTCAACAACATGATTGACATTGAAGAACACCAGGAAGCTCCAAGTACTTTAAATCTTGGGGATGTTCGTATTCCAGGTCCAGCATAACGTGGACATGCAGTGCTTTAACATCAGCATCCTTAGGGGGGTTCCTGTGATACGTTTCTTGTTGGGATATGCACGGTTGCGTATTTGCAGTAATACGCATATGTGTATACGCATATGTATTCATATATCTATGACCGCTTTGCCCAAGATCCCAAGATCCCCATGTTGTTGCATATAAGTGCCGCTCCGGGGAGGAGTCCTGGTTGCAGCCCGCTTACCTCTTGAACTGAAGCCAAAAGTTCAGAACTCACCACCCAAACCTCCACTTTCCCTCTTCAGGGCAGTAAACCCTAAACTAAACCCTCAAGAAAATTCCTTCTAGGCCTGTGCTGTGTTCATTCTTCCACTCATCCGCGCCTCCCTCAAGTACCAGCAAGTTTCTTATCATACCATGTACGGGTTCCACTGACCACCCCGCCAAGCCCGCTCAAAGCTCCGGACTTGAGCCCTGTAGAATTGGTATAAACCCTTATAAGCCCTATGCCCTAAACCCTTTTAACATCAGCAGCCTATCCAAGTTGGTTTAAACCGTAAATCCCGAAGCCCCCAACACCCTAAACTCCTAAATCCTTAGCCCTAAACCACCTTTTCCAAGGTCCAAACCCCCTAAATCCCTTAACCTCTAAATCCCTAACCCCGAAACCCCCAAACTCCTAAAGCCCCTGAAGCCCTTAACCCCAAATCCCCTTTTCGAAGGTCCTTGGCCAGAAAGGCGGTGAGTGGAAGCCGCAGGGCAAGGCTTGGGGCACTTGTGCTAAGAGTGTATTGGCCTCCGTAAGTAGATAGAATGTGAGGTTTAGGTTTTAGGATTTAGGGTTTATGGATTGGGGTTTAGGGATTAGGGTTTAGGGTATAGTCTCCCTTAAGTAGGTAGCATATGGGGTTTAGGGATTAGGGATCAGGGTTTATTAAGAAGATAGAGTATGAGGTATATGGGACCTTATGATAATATACCCAAAGCCATATTCTATCTACTTAAGAGGGACTATAGGGTTTAGAGAGTGTAGAATGGTTAAGAGGGTTTAGGAAAAAGGGTGCAGGGTTGATAGGATTTAGAATGGTTTCGAGGTCTAGGCCAAAGGGTTTAGCGTAGAGGGTTTAAAGGGTTTAGAATCGTTTAGAGGTGTAGGAAAAAGGGTTTAGGTTATGGGCTCTAGAGGGTTTAGGAAAAAGGTCAAGGAATCGGAAGGTTTAGGGTTTAGGGGTTTGGCGGGGAAAGAAGTGTAGAGGGTTAAGGGTGTAGGGTCCAGGCTTTACAGTTTAGCTTTGAGGCTTTAGGGTCAAGGGTTTAGGGTTACGGCTTTTGGGTTAGTCGCTGGGTCCTAGCTATCGGCCCTTTACTTGTATTTGTGAGGTTTTTATTCATTCATGACTAGCTATCATTTTTGAACCAGCGAGGGGATTTATATGCCTGGGAGCAAGCCACAAGCCGAGCCAAATCTGAACATTCAAATCAACCAAGATCACATGGCATTTGGCGTTAAGAGTTTAGAGCCTTATCTGAATATTCAGATCAACCAAGATCACATTGGCATTTGGGGTTAAGAGTTTAGGGTAAGGGTTCAGGGCCTTGTTCATTCCTGTTCAGGCTTTGGTCGGCTTGCGGGGAGCCATTGACTACCCAGTTGCAGTCGGCGTGGCTGGGAAGCCCAGCTACATCATGCTTCGGTTGTAGTCCAGGTTTTCAGGGGCTGTGGCCTATCAGGGTTGTATACGGGAGAGTAGAGTCCCGGATGCAAAGGTGGGGACTGTGCAGCAATGTAGAGCAAAAGAAGATGTCCACTCCAGGATTAGACGGTCGGGGCGACGTTATAACGATACTGATGCAAAGTTTGCATCACCCCGGGTTGGGGGGCTTAGGATGGTAAGGCCCCTTCCCAAACCACAGCCGTTCTGTTGCTACTATATCCTGAGGGATGGGTTGACTGGGGAACCTGAGTGAAGATTGTGGACTACTAGAAAAATGTAAAAACATGAGGACCCTTTCGCACATAAGCTCTAAGCTAGACCTCCGAACTAGGAATCAGAGTCTTCAACCCCGCAATTATTCAGTAATTCATAGTTTTAGTGATGGCTATTGTAGGTTTTGAGATCAATTACTAGTTTGGGTAGCTTGGAGGCCGTGAACCTTAGCCTTAAACCTAACACCTAACAACTCCAAAGCCATGAGGTCAAGACCCTCACCACCTCCAAGAACGACTATGTGCAGAGCGCTGAGACCGACGCTTTGTTCTCCTTACGCGTGCGAATTTCTAGAGTTTATAAGGTTTAGTATTTCATTCGGCCAAGATGTTAAGCATATGTCCTACATATGAGTATGTATACATAAATATTTCCGAAAAGGGCAGTTTCCCCACTCCCAGAATTGGTATGTAGTGCGCATATATCTTCAGAGGGTCCTCATCAAAGCCGCCACATGCTACCTAAGCCTGCACACCAAAGCCCTACGATCTCGAAAACCTAAACCCAAGGCCGAGCGTATGAGACTTTACATGAAAACCCAACACATCGTTGCTGGATTTCGGGTGTAGGGATAAGGTTTGGGGTTCAGGGTTTAGAGTTAGGGGTTTGGACCCTGACCCCTACCGCATAAGCTCTAACCATGAAGCCCTGACATAATGAATACTTGAGCTCTTATTAGACCCTAGACCCAGCACATAAGACAGCACTCAAAACCCTAAGATGCCTGATCCCTAAACCCTATAAACCCTAGAACATGATTCTCCAAATCCCCTCTGAACCCTGCAGCCGCTCTAAGGTCGGTTCCATGTAGGTCCTGCTTGTGGGTACTTGGGCTCTGTCGAGTGCATTTGATGGCCGACCTTGAACCCAATTGACCCCATGAACACCACAAACCAAAGATTCCATAAACGTTATAGCCGTACAAACCCTATAGAATATGGTGTTGGGTATGTTATAACAAGATCCCCATATACCTCATATTCTATCTACTTAAGGGGGACTATAACAACACAAACACGAAGCCTTGAGGCCGCTGATCTTTAAAAAGCATTTTACAGGAGCTCTAAACCCTACAATAAGGCTACCCTTGATCTTTCCTAAACCTTACACCCCAAACCCCCTAAACCTCAAACAACCAACCCCTAAACCCCTAAGCCATAAACCCTTACCCTAACGAGTATTTAGACAGGCAGGGCCGCGCAGGCGGCTCGATCTCCATGGCCATGCGCTCCTTGGCGCTGAAGGCGGGTCAGGGAGCGACTCGAGGTTCAAGGTTCAGGGTCTAGGGTTTAGAGCGTGCCAAGCAGAAGCGCGCTGTTTGATCGCGCGATAGTCTGCAGACTTGCCCACCCCAAGACCACCCATTTAGTACTGTTTCGGGTCTGATCTTCACAGTTGCCTATCCATCCAGACCGAAGCGCATCAAAATACTTTCGGGTTTGCGCTCAGACCGATCTGGCCCGAAAGGCCCCTGCATAGATTCATCTCGCAGCGGGTCATGTGTGCTGCCACCAGATTTGGCTGGGTATTTCGCTAAAACAAAGATTAAGGACCTAAGGTCCCTTCAGCCCCCTCAAATTTCCAGCCCGCCCTGGGTCACGTCCTGCCGCTAGCAAGAAATTCTACGACACCTTGGGCGCGGGACTAGGAGTGAGTAGAAAAGCTTGACATGAGTCTTGGAGACATGTGAGGCGAGGCCATGTGTTCCAGCTAGAACACGTCGAACAAAAAGTGTCCAAGCAACATTCAGGGTGGACGTGAGGGGACGTCCTGGCCGATGTGTGGTAAGAGCGCACTGACTACGCACACCTGGCTGAATGCTTGCGGCGACGATTTGTTACGAAGGGCCCGCTCATGGATTTATCTCGCTCCGGGTTAGATCTGGCTGGGTATTTCACTAAAACAAGAAATGGGATTTGTGTGTGGGGACTGGAAGCGCTTAATTAAGCAGACCAGGATCTACTACTATTAGTCCTTAGGACGCCTTGAAAGCCCCTTAGTCTACTTTTTTTGGGGTTCCCAAGATTAGGGATACCTTGCTGGCCCATAATGTGGATTGCAGTATTTCGGGGTCTGGTAACACCCTAAGCCGGTGTAAACCCTAAGCCCTAAACCCAGCTCCTAATCCTTAATCCCAAATCCTAAACTTTGAATCCTAGGCCCTAAACCCTAAATCCTCCCCCCATGCCCTGAATCCTAATCCTTAACCCCCAAACCATAAATCCCAAATCCGAATTTGAAAAACCTAATCCCTAAGCCCTAAATCCTAAATCTTAAAACCTTAATCCTTAGTTAGGTCCTAAACCTTAAACCCTAAACCCTAAATCCCAATCCCTAAGTCCCAAACCCTAACCCCTAAACCCTCTACTAAACCCTAAATCCTAATCCTAAAGCCAATTCCTTCCCTGCAGCCTGGGCAAAACGATGAGGACCGGGTTGCAGCTGCAGATCTTTGCGCACCATATGGGCTATAGCATAGACTCCTCAAAGGGGGGTTGTATACGGGACTATACAGAGGACGACTATAGGGGATTCTAAGGGGGATGCTTGGAGTTTAGACTTTGCTCTTATCCTCCTGGTGGTTAGTAGGGAATAAGGGAACATAATATCATATAGGGTTTAGGGTTTGTAGGGAATAAGGGAACAAAACTATACAGGAGTTAGAGCTTAGAGTCTAGGGGGAATATATTATGTAGGGATCATATTTGCTACTCCCTACGAACCAAGGCATTCTTTAGGAATAGTCTAAAGCATGCTGCAGGCTGCTTCGTGGCCTGCAAAAAGATGATTAGCGTGCTGTTTTGCATTGAATTTCCGGGGCTCCCGCGAAGGAACTTGGATCAGGTTATCATTTCACAGAAACCCACCTATTTACCCTCAGCCCTAACTGAGCCCCTAACTTCTGGTAACTTTCAGTTCCTGGACAGCAACCCACATTCTCATGGAGCATCGAAACTCAGACTCAGACATCTTCCACTTCTTAAGCCGATAACCTTCCTGCACGTATGCTGTATAGCAGGGATTGCTATAGGGACTATAGGGTCTATTTTCAGTATCATTGTTCTAGATTCCTTGTACGTAGAATTGTAGCATAGTTTATCTCAAATAGATGATATTTAGTCCCGTGCCTTACTGCGACTACTGCCAACCACCAGTTTTGTTAGGATGTCTGACATGAGAGCTTTTTTCTTTTGACCATTGGAGCCTTCGGGCATTATAACACCCCAAAACCTAAACCCTACCTGTGTAGCCGGGATGACGTCTGGTGCCAGAAAGACACCGTTTACCCGGGCACCGTGTTCACCAGATTTTGTCTGGATTTCGGGGTTTAGGGCGTAGGAGGACTTAGGGCAAGCAAAAATGATTGATTTTCTCGCTGCCGATTCTAATTGCTACCTTCTTCATTTGGGCGGGCTCTGTTCCATCATGACCACGAGGAGTCGTCAATCCCACGACCAATGCAGGACCTCAATTCGCACCAGCCTCATTATGTCATATCACTCAGGGGTTCCAGCGTTATGAAAGCTTCACGGGGTTTCTCAAGGTTTGGGTGGCTTAGGCAATGGTGTATGAGGGTTCTGATGGGCGTAGAGATTTCCTTAATGCTGAAGGATCGCATATCCTTGTAAGTAGCTTGAGAATCTTCAAACACGTCGCAGAGGGTTAGGGTTGAATTCTGAAGCCTCAAAAGTAATGGCGCAGAGCAATGTGTTCAATAGCAAGGTTGCCTCTGAAACTAGGTGTGTTGAACTTTGAGACAGCAGTCGGTCACGGTGGCAAAGCCCTACTGGAGTCGTTATCTGTATGAACCCCAAACAAATTCTCAAGAACTCCCCCGCAGTCCCGAGCACTGGTGGAGTATGTAGAGGTCTGATGCAGACGGCACCGGCTTGAAGACACTGCTGCTGCTGCTGCTGCTACTCCTACTGCTGCTGCTGCTACTTCTACTTCTACGTCTACGTCTACGTCTACTTCTACTACTACTACTACTACTACTACTACTTCTGCTACTACTACTACTACTACTACTCCTACTACTACTCCAACGACTACTACTACTACTACTACACCTACTACTACTACTGCTACTACTACTACTACTGCTGCTGCTGCTACTACTACTACTACTACTACTACTGTCCATCAAGACCATGACCACCACCACGACAACCACGACAACCACCGCCACTACTTATGGCACCACGACACATCTTCCAAGTGCCGAAAGCTGTCCAAGGAACTGCCTGGTCCCGCCAGCCGCAGCCCTGCAAGGATGCACAGAAGCACCTCTTGCCAACATTCTGGGTCAGGCTTTGAATTCGCCCGCAGGCAGGGACCGACAGGGGGCATGGAGTCTATGAGCATCTTGGATTCCGCGAGTTTTGCACGAGCCTGCTTAGGAACGATGCATGGGTTGGTGGCTTAGCGACCAGCTGGAAATTTGCTCGGCTCAGGACATGCTGTGCTCGCAGAATAAGCCTCAATCACATCCCGATAGGATTGTAGTCGCAGTGCATTGAAGTAAAGTTTCAACCAAACTCCTCAAATGCAAAAGCCTTTTGAAGGTTTGTGTCTTCATAATGTGTTGTCTTCAGTCAAGGCTCTCCAGGAACTTCAAAACAGTTGAGGGAAGCTGGCAATCCCAACTTCAACGATTGAAATTTGAAGGCCTGAACATGGATCCCTGAAGTTTTTACCTGTAACCTGCTGCCACTCCAGGGCACGCAGAGTTTGCGACCAAACAACGATCTCGTAGCTGGTCCCTTGGCCCGGATGGTTTTGTCCGAGGTCCGAAACTCTGATGCGGTTCAGAAGGGTACTGAGAGGGTTCCCAGCAAGGTGAAAGGACTGTAAAGAAGCTTCTGAATAGTTCTGTCAAACTCTAAGGCTTGGAGAGGGATTATGTTGAAAACCTCCCATGAATCCATATTTGAGAATTATTCTGTGAGCAGGCAACCAGCGTCTGAGACCCTAGGCAAGCAGGTTGAGATTTGTCGAGGAGAGCCCTGTGGCTGGCATGATGAATCAACGAGCTTCGTGCCACAGCCTGAAACTGCCAAGACTGAAACGTGACTGCGCCCACAGATACCTTACCTTGCGAAGACAGTTCCAGCACGTTCCGCTGTGAGAAAGTGGGTCAGCTGTACCTTTTCCGAAACTGGCTCAACCCATGTAACACAACATTTCAAGTATCTGCAGCCCTTCAAGTACACTTGGAACGACAGAAATCGGGTTGCAAGAATCTGCTGCAGAACATGGCAGGGGAGTGCCGCAGACGAGTTCACATTGAAAGCAGTCCTTCCAACAAGTAATCACAAGTACAAATATGTTTGAAGTAGTGAATAAGGATGGTTGGTCTTGATGTGTATTGCCAAATTATTGTAGATAAGTCTGTTTTACAAACATGACAATCCTACATAATTGAATGCAGAGGCACACTACGCTGTTGGAATTGCCCGTGGAATATCCGGGAACCCAAGAGCCTCCCTCCGCGGTGGCAGGCTCTGTCAGGCTGGGCGCGTAGTACACCTCATGTTGGAATAAAGTTTACAGCTCCCGCATAAGAACTTCAATGCTGCATGGTAAAACATGATTTATTTCAGGATGCACGATTCTGCATAGATCGACAAACCACACTTCATTACATGGTCTGCATTCTGTAATCCGGCAGGAAAACTTTGCAATGGCTTCTTCAAAATGTTTGTCCTTAAATGATTGTGGCAGTTCACAGTCTTCAGCAGCATCCAGTCACAGGGAGGCTTGAAATCTGCATCAGTGCAACTTCCGGTGCGGTTCAGAGTTCCGGTCCTGAAGTGACGTACGCTTCATCATCTCGAAGTAGAATCATTCACAGCCGCTGTAATGCTGATATTGCTGACCATGTGCTTTCATGCACTTTCCATACCAGCTCAACTTCCACAAGGTGAACGGCTGAAAGGAAGTTTGCTGCTAGTTTCTGGCGGATCAAAACTTAATTTAGATACTTTGTTGTGTTGTTTTTGTTTTTGAGGGTTTCCTTTTCCCAAGACTATTGCAAATCGCAGCACTTCGAGCTCTTGAAAGCCTGCTAATACTGCAAATTACAACATTTGCGGCTCTTGAAAGGCTACGAATACTGCAAATCCCACCCGTGTAGGGCTTTTTAAGGCGATAAGCTTTTTTGGGTTTAGGACTTTTAGGTTTAGGGTTTTTGGTGTTCAAGGTCGTTAGGGCTTATGGTTTTGAGGTTTAGGGCTTTTGGGGTTAGGGTTTAAGGTCTTTAGGGATTTACGGTTTATAGAGTGTTTGGGCGTTTAGGGTGTGTGGTTTTGGGGAGTTTGGGGCTTTAGGGTTGCAGGGTTTAGGAATCTTAGGGTTTTGAGGGTTTAAAGCTTTTTGAGTTTAGAGTTTTAAGGTGTGTGGATTTTCAAGTTTAGGGTGTCTGGGGGGTTTTGGGGCTTAGTGCTTTTAGGGTTTCGGGTTTTTAGTGGTTTTAGGGTTTAGGGTTTGTAAGGTGTTGCGTTTCAGTGTGTTTAGGTTTTAGGGCTTAGTGTTTTTAGGGCTTAGGGTTTTTGAGGGTTTTAGGGCTTAGGGTTTTAGGGCTTAGGGCTTTTAGTGTTTTTTGAATTATTTGGTGTTGCTTTTAGCGTTGAAGATCTAAGGCTTTTAGGGTTTGGGGCTGTTAGGGTTTCAAGTTTTTCGATTCAGAGTCTTTCAGGCTCAGGATTTGGGCTTTTTAGGGTTTAGGGCTTTTAGTGCTTAGGGTTTCTAGGGTTGAGGGCTTAGTGCTTTTGGGGTTTAAGGTTTAGGAATATGGTTTTCAGGGTTTCGGGCTTTTAGGGCTTAGGTTTTTTCGTGCTTAGGGTGTCTAATAGTTTTTCGTGTTTAATGTTTTTCGGGTTTAGGATTGTTTTTTTTATTTACGGTTTTGGGTTTTGAGGGTTTAGGGTTTTTAGGGTTTGGGGTGGGTTACGGCTTTTAGGGCTCAACATTTTGGAGCTTACGGTTTCTTTTAGGGTTTAAGGATTTTAGATTTCAGGGTTACTAGGCTTTAGGGTTTTTCGGGTTTAGAGTTTCTTTGGTTTTGGGTTTCAGGGTTGCAGGGTTCAGGGGTTTTAGTATGTAGGGTTTTTAGGGTTTAGGGATTTTGATTGAGGGTTGTAGGGTTTAGGGGTTTTAGTGTTTCATGGGTTATGTTTTAGGCGTTTTAGGGTTTAGGCTTTTTAGGGATTTTAGGATTTAGTGTTTTTAGTACTTTGTATGGTTTAGGGAATTTAGTTTTTATGGCTTTTAGTGTTTAGGGTTTAGGGTTTTCAGGCTTTGTTGTTTTAAGGTCTTTGGGGTTGAGGATTTTGAGGGTTTAGGCTGTTAACGTTTTGGCTATTCAGCGTGTTTAGGGTTTAGGTCTGAGTGTTTAGGTTTAGGGTTAAGTCTTTTAGGGTTTGGGGGTTTGAGGTCTTGAGGGTCTAGGGTTTTGGGTTTGTAGGGATTTTGGCGTTCAGGGTTTTTGGGGTTTAGGATGTTTAGGGTTAAGATTTTTTGGTTTTAGGGTTTAGGGTGTTTGAGGTTGTTAGTTGCGGTGGTTTGTGATTTTAAGGTCAAGAGCTTGTTGTTGTTGTTGTTGGTTTTTTTGTTTTTACGTTGTAGGGTTTAAGGGCTTTAAGGCTTTTAAGGTTTTTTGGGTTTAGTGTGTTTAGAGTTTTAGGGTTTGGGGTGTTAGATTCCTTTGGGTTTAGCGCTTTTTGGGTTCAGGGTTTTAAGGATTTAGGCGTTTTACGGTTTAGGTGTTTAGGGTCTATGGGTCTTAGGGCTTTTAGGTGTTGTAGGGTTTTGGGATTTCAGGGTTTGTAGAGCTTAGAGTTTTTTAGGGTTTTGATTGTTTTAAAGGTTTAGGTTTTCAGAGTTGATGCTTTTCAGGGTTCAGGGCTTCAGGGTTTCTAGGGTGTTTAGGGTTTTAGGATTTGGGGATTTTAGTTTTCTTAGGGTTCAGGATTCAGGGAGTTAAGGGTTTAGGGTTTGCAAGGTTTAGGGCTTTCAGCTGTCAGGCTTTAGCGTTTGAGGTTTTGGGGATTTTGGTTTTTTAGGATTTTCAAGGCGTAAGGCGTTTAGGGCTTTTAGGGTTTAGGGTTTTGAGAGCGTTTGGGTGTTTAGGATTTGCGGATTTTAAGGTCTAGGGCTTTAGGCGTTTTGAGGGTTTGAAGCTTTTGAGTTTAGAGTTTTAAGGTGTATGGATTTTAAAGTTTAGGGTGTCTAGGGGGTTTTGGGGCTTAGTGCTTTTAGGGTTTCGGGTGTTTAGTGGTTTTAGGGTTTAGTGTTTATAAAGTTTTGCGTTTTCAAGGTGTTTAGGTTTTAGGGTTTGGTGTTTTTAGGGGCTTAGGGTTTTTAAGGTTTTGGGGCTTAGGGTTTAGGGTTCAGGGCTTAGGGCTTTTAGTGTTTAGGGGTTTTAGGGTTTGAAGTTTTTTGGGTTTAGAGTTTTTAGCGTTGAAGATTTAAGGCTTTTAGGGTTTAGGGCTGTTAGAGTTTCAAGTTTTTGGGTTTATAGTTTTTAAGGCTGAGGATTTGGGTTGTTTAGGGTTTACGGTTTTCAGTGCTTCGTGTTTCTAGGGTTTAGGGCTTAGGGCTTTTAGGGTTTAAGGTTTAGGAATATGGTTTTCAGGGTTTCGGGCTTTTAGGGCTTAGGTTTTTTCGTGCTTAGGGTGTCTAATAGTTTTTCGTGTTTAATGTTTTTCGGGTTTAGGATTGTTTTTTCTTTTTTTTACGGTTTTGGGTTTTGAGGGTTTAGGGTTTTTAGGGTTTGGAATGGATTGCGGCTGTTAGGGTTTAACATTTTAGAGCTTACGGTTTCTTTTAGGGTTTAGGGTTTTAAATTTCAGGGTTACTAGATTTCAGGGTTTTTCGGGTTTAGAGTTTCTTTGGTTTGGGGTTTTAGGGTTGCAGGGCTTAGGGGTTTAGTATTTAGGGGTTTTAGTATTTAGGGGTTTTAGGGTTTAGGGCTTTTTGTTGAGGGTTGTATTTAAGGGTTGTGGGTCTCCAGGGTCTGCAGGGCTCAGGGTTTTTGATCTAGCGGCTTGGGTTCAGGGGCTTTGGGGTTTTAAGGATCGGTTAAAGGCTTAAAGGATTTTAGGGATCAGGGGCTTTAGGGTTTTGGAGGTTTAGGAGTTAGGTTTTTGGTGTTTTTTAGGGCTTCTGGTTCCTGGGGTTTTGTGTTTAGCGTTTTAGTTGTTTTTTGAGGTTTAGGGCTTTGGGGGTTTTAGGGTTTAGGGTGTTTAGGGCTTAGGGTTTTTAGGGTTTGGGGCTTTTAGGGTTTAACGTTTTTGGGTTTAGAGTTTTCAGGGTGGAGGATTTACTTGAAAGGCCATCCAAAAAAACGTTTTTACCAATAAAAAAAACTTTCAGTTCCAGATCAAAAAAAAACAACTTTTTAGGCATCAAACAAAACTTTTTCCGCATCAAAAAGACACGTTATTGTCGCAAAATGCTGACCTTTCCTCGGTCTGGGATTGCTCCGGCCATCAAAAAAAAATATTCTCCAATCAAAAAAAATTTGGGGGGGGGTGAACCTCTCAGAATATGATATTACCTTCAAAGCCTTTCTTTTATACACCCCCTTCAAGCCCTTCAGGCCACCTTTCACCGACATCAAAAAAATAGATAAACATCAAAAAAATCGAGGGCCAGAAGACTC